GTGCTGTGGTCACCAAGGATGGAACTGCTGCCATACTGGCTCTGGGTTTAATGGGGATAGAATGGTGCTGTGGTCACCAAGGATGGAGCTGGTGCTGTGGTCACCAAGGATGGAACTGGTCCTATGGTCACCTGGATGGAACTGGTGCCACACTCACCAGTGCCATGCTGGGATGTGTGGCACCAGGGACAGTGATGGGGACAGAGTTTTGGTGGTGGTGAGACCCCAGTCTGAACCTCCTGGAGCTTGGAGAGTGGCCACATCCCTGTGGTGGGAGCCAAGGAGCATCAGAGATGCCACGAGGATGATATCCACATCACACAGCTACAGGCAAGAGGTCAACCAGCCAAAAAAGCTCCACCATGACCCTGCAGAAAAGTCCCTGACCAGCACTGAGGGCATGGGATGGAAGCTCCAGGGACTGGGAACTCCAACTTGGCTATCTGGAGAGGATCCAAACCCTTTTTCATGCCCTAATGAAGCTCGATTTGCCTCTTGGCACCTGCACAGATGCAATTAGTGAAGTTTTTTAAGCTGCTTTGAAGATGAAAAGGCTTTTTCCAGGCAAAACTTCACTGGTGGAAACATCTGGACATGGCTTTGACCCCAAACTCAGGGATGTTGTTACTCCAGATGCCAACGGCACCAAGCCAAGGGAGATTCCACAGCCAAGGCACGACCTCACTGGGCACCTTCTCAAGGCACCTGCTTAATTAATTAGCAAAGCTCCATTAAAGCTGGAGATAGAACTCGATCTGACTCATCTTGACGTGTAGCCAAGGAAGAGGCTTGTGGCACTTCCACGGTGCAAGGAAGGAACAGTTCTCAAAATCCTCAAGGTTTCCACCACCTGGAAGTTCCTTTGTCCTTCTTCTGCCTCCTTTTATCCCTGCCCTGTGCCCAGGTCCTTCCCAAGGTTGTTCTGCTGATCTCTCCCACATTTTCAACTTTCTGCTTTCATTCTTGGGGGGTTGGTGGAGGAGAAGCTCCACATGATCTAACCATGGCACCCCAAAACCTTCCCATGTGCTGGGCTCATCCCTACAGGTAAGGGGGGGATTGTCTTCTCTGTCCTGCTCAGGTGAGACCTCAGTGCTGCTCCAGCTCTGGATCCAACAGCAGAAGGATGTGGAGCTGTTGGAGAGAGGCCAGAGGAGGCCATGGAGATATTCCAAGGGCTGGAGCAGCTCTGCCATGGATCCAGGCTGGGAGAGCTGGGAATGTCCAGCCTGGAGAGGAGAAGCTCCAAGGAGAACTCAGAGCCCCTTCCAGTGCCTCAAGGAGCTCCAGGAGAGCTGCAGAGGGACTTGGGCCAAGGCATGAAGGGACAGAACACAGGGAATGGATTCACGCTGGAAAAGGGGAGATTTAGATGGGATATTGGGCAGGAATTCCTCCCTGTGAGGTTGGTGAGGGGCTGGGATGGAATTCCCAGAGCAGCTGTGGCTGCTCCATCCCTGGGAGTGTTCCAGGCCAGGTTGGATGGGGTTGGAGCCACCTGGGCTGGTGGGAGGTGTCCCTGTCCATGGGGGATGGGGTTGGAATGAGATGAACTTTAAGGACCTTTCCAACCCAAACCATTCCATGGTTTGATGTTCTCACCCCTCAAACCAACCCAAGCAAAGACCTCCAGCCCAACACCTTCTGCTGAGCTTGGCAACATTTCTGTCACACCACTGAAGACTCCTTTACTTCACAAACTCCTCCCAAGCTCCAAAAATCTTCTTGTGAGGTCTTTTTTTTGGTTCAAAAGATGCTAAAAATAAACAAACCCCAAGCTTGACAAGATTACACCTCATCAGTGTGGAACACGCTGGAGAAGATCACACCAAGAGGACACAACCACGTGAAGGTTCCTCTTGTGCCACCCCCAATCCCTCTGGGATAGATCCACGTGACTGTTTACACACAACCACCTCCATGTGGGAATAAAAATCCATTTAATTTCCATAAACTCTTGCAGTTAGGAGACAAAGACCCAACAAGTGAACACACCCAACCAACTCTTGACATGGGGCACAGCAGCACCGAGCAGTTACTTTTTTTTTTTCCCCTCCTTTCCATACTTTTGGCCAAAATTTCATCCAAATCAGGTCAAGAGCTGCTAAATTCCTAGCTGATACCTCCAGTATTCCAAGGCAGGGCCAGGAGACATCCTTGCTCCAACTTCAGCTCATCAAGACATCTCCTCCCACCCCACAAACCCCACGGGGAACACCTCAATCCCATCCCTGGAGCCTTCAGCTTCAGGAGGAAGTTTGCATGATGGTACCTGGTTCAGAAGGTCACTGTGGTCCAGGTGTTGCCAACTGTGATGGGAATGATGGAATTGACCTTCTCTGAGGAGCTGCAGCTTCTTGGATGCCACCCAAGTGTCCCTTTCCCAATCCAGCACCAGGAACTTCCCGGGAAGTTGTCTTAAACCAACCCCAAACCATAAACTCTTGTTTCAGCAGTGGGAAGGGCATCACCAACCACTTCCAGGGTGGAATTCTGCCCTATAGAACTTTGGGAATGATCCCTATCCAGCTGGCTGTGCCCAACTCAGCCCCACTTGGAGATGTATGGAATTAGAGTGACATTTCCCATCATCCTGGGGACACCAAGCAGGTCCCTCCCTCACCTCTTCTCCCAGTGGGATTGGGAGGACTAGGAAATTTGGGGGCAACCACCCCCTCCTAGCAGTGCCAGTGCCCAGTGGTCGCAAGGGATGTAAAAAATAGCACCTCCTAAAGATATTTAGGTGAGGAACAACCCTTGGATCATGGATTATGCCCAAAAAAACCCCCAAAACTGTGACCCACAGTGTCACATTTGGGACCTCCTGAGCCTTGGGAAGTCACGGAGACAAAGGGGTGAGGGAAGAACCTCCACCAGCACCCCCCAGGGGTGTCCCCAGCCTTGCGGCCAACTGGAGTGGTTGGTAGCCAAAAAAAGAGGTTGCCCTGCCCTAGGATTGGGGGCTGTGGCCACGGTGCAGCCGTTGGGCCATGCTGATGAGGGAACGGAGCTGCACCAGCTTCAGAGGTCCAACTTCCCGGGGGTCCTGTCCCTCCAGCCACCGCAGAGCTGTCTCCAGACCTTTGATGGCTTCCCGAGCCGTGGGCAACAAGGCATCTCCTCCTTCCCCACCTTTTTGGCCATCTCCACTGGCTGCTTCCTCCTCGTCGTCATCTTCCTCACAGCCCTCAGCGCTTTCCTCCCCATCCTCCTCCTCCTCCTCCTCTGTACCTGGAGATGCATCATCCAAGTGCAACCAGTCGGACACCTCCTCGGGAGCCAAGCGCTTGTAGGCCAACGCAGCCAGGTGGGTCAGGTGACTGAAGACTTTGCTGTCCCCTCCACCTTCCTCTCCTCTTGGTGGGTCTCCATGCTCCTCCTCCCCGGGCTGAGGCTCGAAGGCAGCACGTAGTCCCAACAACCAGCACTTCTCGATGGATCCAGGTGGGATGAGATCCCAGGAGAGCCCAGCCAAGTACAACATATCCTTGAGGAGGAAAGACCTCACAAAATCCATCGGGCCACCTGAGCCACCACTTCCAGCTGCGCACGACACGGCCAAGCGCAGCAATTCCCTCTTGTAGAGCTGCTTGAAGGCAGACACCACCCCTTGCTCCAGCGGCGCCGGGATTCGGCTTCCCGCTCCGCTCCCAGAGGGCCCCTTGGAGAGGAACAGCGCACGGATGGAACCATCAGGTGTCTGTAGAGGAGGAGAATCCTCATGGACAACACCAGAACGTGGTGGTGAAGAGCTGAGGAGCAACACAGCCTTCTGCTGAAGGCAACTGCGCCGCAGGTACCTCTTGACGCCCGGCACGAAATCCTCGAAAAACCAAGCGCGGAGCAACGCCGGTCCCAGCTTAGCCTCGGGGCTGTAACGGTAGCAGGCTGGGAATTTCTCCTGATTATGATGGCGAAGGCTTGGAGGATCTCGAAGACCTCCAACCACCAAAGGCTTGAGCTTGT